AGTGTTAAGCCTGGATTCCCCAACGGGTGTTAAGGAAAACAAACTAAACAGAATGTGCAGCGAAGTCAGATAGGAAGACAGGTAAATGTGTGAGATAAGTTTTCTAGTTAACACGCAGTAAAAATACAGATACGCTTGTGCTATCAAAATTATAATTTATTCCATTTAAGAATTATAGCATAGTCATTATAAACAGTCCATTAGTCATATACCAAATTCAGTCAAGTCTTGTCGAGGATACTCTAATTGCAAAGTCCGTGTCGAATAGCCAGTGTCAGTACACATATAATAAATCTGTCCAAAACTTATCTTCTCTCCGTTGAGAAATATCTTCAAAGTAATCCAGCACTTCTTCTCCTCCCCGATCCAGCAAGAACGCAGTCTTCAATAAGCCAGCCAGTAAGAGCCAGAGAGTGCCTTGCTGCTTATATAGTACTTTTACAGCTGCACCCTTAATTACATTCCTTTAGCTTAAAGTCACATACACTTTATGTGACAAACCATGATTCATCATTTTATTATCTTTACCCAAAACAGTTAGGGTAAAACAATGTTATCCCTAACAACATTTCTGAAATTTCAGCTGTGCCTACCATCCTCCAAGGATTGCTTATTTATATTAATTATCTAATTCATTGAAGAGAACTCAGAAGTGTACCATTCTCCCCCTCTCCCTGCTGCATGTCCTATACAGCCTGCCTGAAAATAGCATTTCCTAATTTGGCAGTCTCTAAATACATGGAGTGCACCAATTTGGGGATAGGTTTCTCAAGAAAATAAAAACACTTCCAATTCCTTCAAAGGAGAGTTGAACATTAGACTTTCCTTCAAAGGAGTTCAGTATGGGGCTCACTTCAGTTGCGGTGTCATTTCATGTACATCAAAGTCCACTGATCTTATAACTTGTAAAAATATTCAATGGTGTACATATGAAAAAATGGGAACTTCCCTAATGTGATAAAATCTTTATTCCTTGATACTGGCTGACAGTTCCTATATCTTCTTTTTCTGGCTCCAGAAGTACATCTCTTTAGTCAGATATAGGCCTCTCCAGATACTTTAATTCTGGTAATGCTCTCTTGAGCATATGGGTACCATAATCCAAAATATTTGGAAAGCGTTGGGAGTCTTTCCCAACCCTAATGCTTATCTTGTTCCTCAATAGGATTATAGAATAGGCTAATCTTGGATAAATGGAATACCTCCCTCCCTCTCTTCTAATATAATTATACAGTGATAATCACTTCTCTTGTTTAGCTAAGAGAATCCCCCTCCTCCAAAAAAATAATAATAAGGCACATCCTGTGTATAGGTTGCAGATCTTTTTGGATGTTTTCCTTCAGAATTTGGATCATTTTGTTTAAGACCATGTTGTCCATGTGAAATTTGTGCTAATGGTGAAAGACTCTTACTCCTGTATAAATTTCCCCCCTTCTGTTTTACTTATAGTTTCATGTGGAATTACCCTGGATACTAGTTGCAATGGGGTCGTTCCACTCGGTGGACACCAGTAACTATTGCTCCAGGAAGCAGAAAGGGAATGATGAGGATTTGTTGACCAATAAAGACCGAGAAGAAGATATTGCCAAGTTTCCGTATGTGGAATTCACTGGACGAGACAGCATCACCTGTCCCTCCTGCCAAGGCACTGGCTGCATCCCCACAGGTAATTGTATGTGTCCTGCTTCTGTTGAATGGTGAGTCCTTTTGGACTTGAACATTTCATGGTCCTAGCATACCATTCTTTCCTCACTTCCTACCTTCAGCATTTTGTGCTGCTGTTTCAAAGTTTTACCTAGAGGTGTAATGATAACATTTGAAGAACAACTTCCTTGTCAAATGAATGGGTGTTATTTAAACCTTCCTTTCCGTTCTGTGGTTGGCTTATCTCTTTGATCCAGTTTGGTTTGCACGTATTGAACCACTTGCTTGCTCTGCAAAGAATCCTTTGTGTGCTGTTTATCATTTGTTTCCTTGATTGACACAAGGAATGATGACGTAATGGGTTTAGGGTTGTTTGGAGAATTTAGTTTCAGGGCAGAACGCCAGCCATCTTTTTTGCTATGGGGTTCTATAATCTTATTGCTAGTATAGTTCCTCAGGGCCTGGTTTTGAGAATTTGTTCCATCTCATGTTGTCTTACCTACATGACATGGGGTTGCGTTATATGAGGGATTTCCTCTCCCTAATTACATCTGCTCATCCTGCAGATCATGTTGATTAGGGAGTTTAATTGATGGGTCACAAGGGCTTTTCTACTGTGTCTCCCCTCCACTTAATGGAATCCCCTTTCCCACAAAATAAGGCTGGCCTCATCCCTTTTAACTTTCTGGATATCCTCAAGACCTCGTTGAGGCCTTGGCATCCAAGGGGACTGGCAAAATATTGAAATGACTCTTGGTTAATTAACACATCTCCTTCACCTTCACCTAACCTCTTTAAAATTTTGTCATATCTTTTACAATTTTAAAATTTCTAATATTAGCAATATTAATATTATTTAGAACAGGGGTGTCCAACCTTTCACCTTCCCTGGGCCACATTAGAAGATGAAAATTTGGTTTGGGCCGCACATAATTAAATTAAATAATTAATTAAAATAAAATAATTAAATTAATTAATTAATTAATTAATTAAATTAAATTAATAAAATAATAAAATAAAATAAAATAAAATAAAATTATTATTTATTATTAATTATTTATTAAAAATTATTTATTTTTTATTTTATAATTTTCCGGCCAAATTTTGCGGGGTGGGGGGGGAAGAAAGCTCGCCCGCCTCACGCCTACCTCTCCTCCTGCAAATGCAGCAGCGGTGGCGGCGGCGGGGGCAGAAGCAGCAGCGGCGGCGGGGGGGGCAGAAGCAGCGGGGGGGCAGAAGCAGCAGTGGCGGCGGGGGCGGCGGGGGCAGAAGCAGCAGCGGTGGCGGCAACAGCAGGAGGTGTCAGGGCGGGAATTTTGGGCTGCGGCTGCCCGCCTTTTCTGTTGCTCGCCTCGCCCCGCCTCTCCTCCTCCTCCTAGCTGGATCTTTCATGAAGGTTGGGGTGGGCGTTGGGCTGCATTACGAGGCGACCTGGGCCGCATGCGGCCCGTGGGCCGCGGGTTGGACAAGCCTGATTTAGAAGTTTGTTGTATGCCACCCAGAGTCAAGTGATTGTGAGATGAGTGGCTATCTAAATATGAATAAATAAATAAAATCTTGATTCCCTTCCTCCCATCTCTGCCCTCATTTGTTGACACAATCACACCTACAATTTGTTGACACAATCACACCTACAATTACCAATGCCCTTAGGGTTGATCTGCCTGAAATCAAACCCCTCCTCAAGTAAGAGCTTTGACAGATCTGGTTTACGCATTACACTAAAGCATGTGGCTTCCTTGTGGTATGAAATGTTGCTGTTTTGGATTTGTAAATTGTGGTTTACAGCTTAGCACAACGAGTGAAACCAGCCTGGATCTACTCCTGTTAACCTTTCACTGTTGCTGACATTAGATGCAAATGTCTTGTCTGGTGCCTGAGACTTAAAATTTCACTAGTATATTGCATATAATCAAAAACAGTGGCTTCAAGACCTGTTTCATTTTTGCCACATGAAGGGAAATGTTGCTTAAGCTATTACCATCTGTTTATTTAGATTAAAAATCCTTTAAAGACCATATGTAGTCTCATGCTACAGAGAGATTCCTGTGTTTTACTAAGCTTGTTACATGTTGTCTTTCCTTGGTATGAAGACAAAAATGTGACTTTTAAAATAATGTGTTCTTCACTCATGCTGCATTTAAAGTTAAGATTCTAAAAATGGTCCTTTCTCACTATGACACAGAGAGGCTGGTACTCATGGTTATTATTGCTTTTGTCTCCAGAACAAGTTAACGAACTGGTTGCTTTGATTCCGTATCATGATCAAAGATTAAAACCTCAAAGAACGTAAGTATAGAGAAATAATTAATTCCATTTCTTGTGCAACATATAGAATTTGAGAAGGCATGAAACAAATGAATATTCAGCTGAAAAGTGACTTATATTTCCAACCATACCCATGTCACTTGAGAATGCTTGGAAATCATTTTAATATCCAAAATATCAGGGTGCTTTTGCATTATAACTTAATGTGATCAGACTACCTGTATAATTTGCTATCTTCAGTCTGTCCCTATAATTACCAAGTGAATTCCAGTATCTTAATGGGAGGCAATGTTTCATGTTTTTCAGTGCAGCTTAGATCTCTCTCTCTCTCTCTCTCTCCCTCCCTCCCTGTCTGTTCATGATTATTTTCAGTAGGTATTATTTCAAATAACTTAAATCTTAGATGTGGAAATGCCCTTGAACAACAAAGAATATTGATTGACACATCTGTGGGGAGAGACATTTTCATGGACTGAAGTGAAAAGTATTACTTTTGAGAATGAAATTTCATGAAGGGAATATTTTAGATTAGTTTCTCAACTGTGGCAACTTTTAAGATGTCTGGACTTCAACTCCCAGAGTTCCCCAGCCAACATGCTGGCTTGGAATGGGAAATCTGGAAGTTGAAGTTCAGACTACTTGCTAAGGTTGAGAGACACTGCTTTAATTGAGAATTTGGGTTAGAATTTTCATTTTCCTCTCTGATATCTTATTTGAAAATGATCAGTATGAATAGCTAAAGCAGTTTTAAGAGTAGTAATTTATAATAGAAAGATCAAAACAGAGAAGGCTTACCTTTAATTTTAAAAATTCCTTCTTAGCTTTATCTCCTGTGTACTCAATGAGATTAGCTATGAAAGTCAGCTAATCGATTGAAGACTTAGTCATGGCATGGGAAATCTAAGTCTTGCTTAAGATTGCATAGGGCCCTGTCCCAAACTGTCTTGGGGAACAAAAAGTATTTGACATAATTGCCTATTTTCAGGCTAGGATGAAATATTTTGTCGGAACTTGATTTGCGTCTCAAGAAAAACTAAGCTGCACTTTAGAATGATTGAGTAGAATCCCCTGTACAATCAACTCATTCTCCAGATGTTATGATGTCTAATGTCTAATATGCAGACTCAGAATTTGGCAAGTGGTAAACAACAATACAACACTGAGATGCATTCATGAATTAAATATTAAAGTAGAAAGTCTTCCTGTTCTATCACTAAGTAGAACACGGATTCTTTTGCAATATATAGCAAGATCTGCTTGCAGGACCGGAGCACAGCAAATTGCCCGAACTATTGGCCTTGTCTTCTGCAGGAAGCTCTACGTCTCTGTGTCGGTGCTGCTCTGCCTTCTGGCATCAGGGTTGGTGGTCTTCTTTCTCTTTCCACATTCAGTGCTTGTGGATGACAATGGCATCAAAGTGGTTACAGTCTGGTTTGATGAAAAAAACTCCCTTGTCATTCTTTCCATCACGGTAAGGTCCAGTACATTAACCTTAATAAAGTTAGACGGCTAGGGTAAAACTGGGAGTCTGTTTTCAGCAGTTTTCCTTCCTCTCTCCTGTCCGTAGGCCACTCTTCGGATCCGGAATTCCAATTTCTATTCTGTAGCAGTGACCAACTTGTCCAGCCAGGTGCAATACATGAACACTGTGGTTGGGACCCAACAAATCAGCAATGTTACTCGTATCCAGCCACTGAGTGATCAGCTGGTATGGCAATTATTTTACCTGAAACTAAGATGTATGTAGAGAAGGGGCTAAGTGTGGTATGAACAGAATAATCTCGTAGCTCGAGAGTTCTCAAACTTGGCAACTTTTAAGACACGTGGACTTCAACTCCCAGCATTTCCCAGCCAATCATGATGGCTGGAGAATTCTGGGAGTTCACGCTTCTTAGGGTTGCCAAGATTGGGAATGCTTGTTCTAGCTAACTCAAGAGTGAAAGACAATTTGGCTCCTAAAAGAATCAGTGCCCCCATGGACTCCTCTGTTAGCTCCTTGCAATATGAGTTGTATTTTTAAATTATGTTACTGAAAAGTCAATCAATGAGAAACTTGGAAAGTCCAAAGTGCTCATGATCTATTGCCACTCAAAATTGTGCTCAGATGGCTAGCTCTACAATTTTTTAAAATAAATATATGAATAAAAATGTCTCTTGATGTAAAATAGACCTCATATTTATTCTGAAAAAATGCAATGCCTGACTTTATTTATTCCATTCCACCCCACCCCATTAAAAAGGAGAAAGATAATCTGAATGTTGATAGTATGTGGGGATATGAGTGTCTCGTTTGTTTGGAGTTTTTTGTGACTGGCACCATCCACTCTGACAACCCCTTTGTGAAAAAGCAAACACTTGTTTCAAAGTCCTTTACTGTTGCTGACTTATGGTTAATTCACAACGTTTGTTTTTCAGGTGAATTTCACCATGAAAGCTGAAATGGGTGGACCTTATGTATAGTGAGTAATTTGTTTTTGGCATTTGACGTGTAATGAAGAAATACAATATTTGCTGTGAGATAGTTGCCATTGCTAGGTTCCCTAATAAAGTTTCAGCTACCTTATCTTATATATGCAGTAGAAGTATGGCAGCTCCTTCTATGCTACAGGGCCAGTGGGTGGGTATAATTTATGTGTAAGCCTTCACTTATGTTCTAGGTTTCCAAGTATCATCCCTTCTTACTCCCATTTGGCTAAATTTAAAAGCTTTTTCCTTGCGTGCTTCCATGTTTAAAAAAAAATGGGAGTACTTTGCAGATACTTCAGAAGTCATAATCTTTCTCATTGCTTCAAACCACTGGAAAAACCCAACCTTTAAAAAATATTTTAATTGTATGAACAGTCTGAAATGTATATGTAGAGTATTTTCCTAGCTGTTCCAAAAGAAAATGTATTCCTAAAAAGATGTTGCTGTGTCAATATGCTACTGTTAAATGGTATCACTACTGAATGTTGTACAGTCATATCATATATCAATATCATCATATATATTTTTACATCTAAAAAGCTAAAAACAGATTCGGCAATAAAATTAACTCAAGGTTAAATTTGGCTAGACCATGTTCTGGATATATAATAATATTTTCAAGATTACTTGCATCATTTAGATTGCATCATTTAGTTTCCACATTATTTTAAGATTTTGTGATTTTCTGTCTTTTAGTTTCTTCTGCACACTACCAAAGATCCGAGTGCACAATATTGTGATTTTCATGAGGTGTGTAACTTTTATGGATTTTTTTTAATCTGGGTATCTCTTGGGTTAGAAACACATTTCAAAACATTTCTCCTTCCTGTTTTATATTTCAAAATTTAAACTCCTAAATAGTTTTCTAGTATTGGGGAACTATCACCAAATCATTTTTTCTTAATCCTCACAACTCCTTTTAATAATTCTGCTGATTTTTGATAGCACAGTTGCCAAAAGCTGGCATTATGGCTTGCTCTTTAAAACAAACAAACAAACAAACAAAAAACCTGGAAAAAGCAATCAAATTCTTACATATACCCTGGATTATTCTTAACACATTTACAATGAAAGTTTCTCCAAAAATTTAACAATCTTATCCTCCCACATGTAATGCCTTTATCTGATTGTTTTCATAGAAAACACCCAGAGAACCACCCAGGTTTGGTAGGAACAGGGGGTTTGGTTTGTTGGTTCTTTTATATGCCAGTAGGTTCCAGATTACTCTCTGAACTTGACCCTTGCCTTATCTAGCAAACTTGCTTTTTGATGAACTATTTTCTGGGCTTCTGAAGAAGAGTGAAGTTGCAGGAAATTTAAACGGGGTGACAAGTCTGTGCCCCTCTAGATCTTGTTGGTTTCTAATTCCTACCCTCTTTGGTCTCCATGGCAAATGGTAAAAAAAGATGCTGGCAGTGGTAGATCCCTCTCCTTTACATTAAATGGAGATCATTTTACTGATATGTACAATGTTGCCCTGGAACTTTGCAGGTGGTTTTTGAATGCAGGTTAACTCGAGCATTGTCCAGTGTGGAGCTGCTGTATTTATTATATGTTGAATAATATAAACTTTCTGGCCCATAATTTTATATTTCGGCATAGTTATACATTGGGAGGACTCCACTTATTTTTTGACTTATTAAAAAAAAGAAATATTTCATCTTTTTCTCTTTTGTTTCTGCCTTTCAGAACTTCAGTGAAAATTTCCTACATTGGCCACATATCTCAAAGTTCTTTGGAGACCTACAATTACGTTGACTGTGGCGCCAACTTCACAGCTGCCCATACTGGCCCTTAATTCCCAACTCTAAGAGATGAAACTCAAGAGAAGGGCAATTTAAATCAGCGACATATACTGGTGATCCTAACCAACTGGCTTCCATTACTCTGTAACTTATGATGGAATTTTGTGTCTTTGTTATAAAGAGAAAGAAGAGGCTGTTTTAGCCCTTGGGGTATGGGCTGGGTATGTAGTCTTCCTTCCACAATTTTGCACGGACAGTTGGGCTGCGCCTTGGTGCTGATTTGAAGAGGATTTGTTTAATCCCAGTCCCCATCTTCTCTTCAAATGCTAGTTTGTGCTTTTCTTGTTATTCCTCATTGACTGACTTTGCTTCTGAATAAGATTTGTAATGTTTACAGGTTTTTCCATAAAAATTTAAGAAGGGATAAGTTTCTAAAAATGTGCAGCTGGCCTACTAACCACGAAACATATTTCAATGACCTTCTGACATTACTGCCAATAAAGGAGCTATTGTCCAATTGTGCAAAGGGAAATAATCTTGAATAAGTTTTCTGCGTACTCTTTAAAACTGTCTTGCTTATTGTCAGAGAAACCAAGACTATGTATCGAATAAGCCCCACTGAAACATCTGAATGTAGCAAGTTGCACTCTCATAAATATGTATCTTCATTGATATAACTTTTAAAATTACTTTCATAGTTACTTTTAAAACTACTTTCACAGTTAGAATAGCACGCCATTCTAAAGAGCACAAGACTGAATTAAGAATTCTCATATTTGCTGAATCTACAGCATTTTGGTTTTTTGTCTACAAGAATGAGCATCATGGAAGGGTTCTTCACATTTTTACAGAAGCGGTGAGCACTTCTTAAACTGTGGATCTCCAAAGTTTCTGAATTGGGATGACAGTGGCTTAGATGGCCCTTATTATTAGCACAGAGGAGTTTCATTGTGTAGATTTTGGTAGGGGTGGGAATACTTGTTTTCCACAAAAAGAGATGGATGTTAGTGTTGCTGTGTAGTACTGCTTCTTAAAAAAGATTAGTGTGGGATATACATTTAAAAAGTAACATTGGAATTGGGCAAAGATTATGTATATAGGAAATAGTCTTAACTTTTTCAAATACCAATTATAGCACTTAAAAAGTTTCGGCATTCTAACTCACCTGCTACAGTCTCTTGAAGAAGAAAAAGAAACCTATTTAAATTTGAAGTAAACTTTAAATTTTATTTGTTACTCTTTCAATGATGGGGGAATTTATGTTCATTTAGAACCTGTACTTTTTCAGTTTGGCAGACTGGATTCTTAAAATGAAGAATAAACCCTTAAATCTCCCCCTTTGAGGAGTCTTCTGTTTTTTCTTTATCAAAATGGATTTTTAAATTTTATTTTAAGGGGCTAATGGAGACACAGAAGGAGCCATTTCAGGACTGACACTAAGCAGCAACTGCAAATAAAACCCACTGAATGTGTGAAGCTTGTTAGGGTGAGGAAGCCAACAACTACTTGTAACTGTAATGGATTATTGCTCGGTGGCGTTTCCCCCCCCCCCCCAAATAAGTCTTAATCTACTTGTTTTAACCACATTTCCTATCTACCAACTCAATTTACAGATCACCAATTATCATACTTTAAATGAAGATACAGTAAAACCTCAATTCAGCAAACTTGTGAGGCAATGGGTAACGATTTTCTTTTTGCTTCCCCCACAAATAACAAGACAAAAGCCCATTTCTGAAGCAATCTGGACAACTGTCACACGAGTGTCACACAAACGGTGTAAATTGATGGAAATTGACATCATTTTGGAGTTAACGGACCACCCTTCCCCTCTTGTCTATTAAATTGAGGTTTTCCTACAATGGACCATTCATGCAGCAGTTCACAAATGAAGGCATTGCGATAGCAAGAACAGGTGAGAATGGTTAGAAGGAGAGGTATTTTATCATGCAGCGCACGCATTTGAGTATGTGGTGGACAAAGTTCTCAATGGACGTAGATGTGCTTAGTTGTCTCTGTATAATACTACAGCAAGACACCAATGGGAGCTAAGTAATAAAGGGTAAAGCAATACAAGTTAAGCAAATGCTCTTAGGAATCTTCCTGTCCATCTGTTTGCTGAGTGTTTTTCTACTTGTCATTTTAAACACTAGATTTTGATGCAGTGAGATAAAAGATAGGCAAGGAGATGATCAAGTGGCAAGAATTAAAAGAGTACTGTCACTTTCTCGTGGTCTTCCTGGGAACATGGCAAGGCTTTTGAGATAGCCTGAATATCATGTTCCCTAGCTTGCATTTGACCAATTGTTACAAACTCCATTGCTATCACTTTCCTTCTCCTCTTCCCAGCATTAGGGGGGCCAACATTTACTTTCTCCTAAATGCTCTTCCTTATTTGCTGCTGCTGTAAAAAGAAAAAGAAAAAGAAACCCCACAACGGAAATATTCCCACCCACTTGCAATCCAACTCTGGAGAGCTATCACAAGAAGGAATAATCAGTCACTGTTATTACATCTTCTTACATTGTCACATACTTACAAGGTACAATCCAAGAGATTACAACAGCTGCACAGGGCCAATATCAGCTCTGGCACTTCCACATCCCCTCCCCCCCACTTCCGCCCACCTTACTTTTTTGAACCCCAAATCTGGGGCTTGCACAAGAGTCTCTCCCAGGAACTTGTGCTGAACTGCCAGCGCCCTCCCCCAAAGCTTAAATTACATTCAGTGTTGACGGATCAGTGCCCCCTCCCTTCTTCTGACCCTCAAGGCTGGATTCAAAAGTGCTTGGAAGCCAGGATGCACAGCCGGTTCCCTCCCCAAAAGCCTGCCATATTCATCCATCGTGCCATGGGGAAGGTGGCAACAATGTGGGGGGTGTAACTATCCTCTTGGGGCCAGGCCTGTTGGGTTCCATCTCACAGCTAAGGGGCATGGATCTCGTGCAACACAATCGCCAGTACATTCAAGAATTTGTTGAGATTCAGAAGAGCAAGAAAGCCCGAGGTGTCTTTTAAGAGGTGATGTGGCCTGGCTGGGCTTGTGCCCTTTGCCTGCACGTCCAGTTCTCCTGGTACAAACCAGCGGCCAGAGGAATGAAATCAGGCTGGATTTGACCACAGGTCAGTGGGATGGAGCCAGCAATTGTAACAGCTGCTCCAGCCCAGTTCTGTCCACACTGGGGAGGGAGGATTAATTGCATTACCCTGATCACAGATTTGAAATAAAGCCTGAGACCACATCACTCATCACAACCACACAGATGCCCCTGCCACCACAACAGTGGAGGCGAGGCCTGTAAACACTTGCACCAGGAGAGCTGCCAAACTAGAAAGAGAAGAAAGTGGGAAGGATTTTATCCTTCTCGAAATGAAGCAATAAACTAGGACAAAAGTCAGAAAGGGGAGATAATACTGGGAGGAGTGAAGAAAGGAGCTTTTTACAAATGTTCCTTCGTTTTCTTTTCTTTTTTTTTTTTTAAAAAACCAAGACTCTTCTTTTAACAGCCAGGCTCTGCGTTGCTTTGGAAGAACTCCCCCTCTGGCTGCTCAGTATGTCTATAGCTTCAGGAGGAGGTTCAGCATCTATAAAAAGATGGCCTTGTTGAATTCCTCAGAGATGCCCAGCGTATGCCTGACCGTGGTTGAGCCCCCTTCCTTGGCCCGTAACCAGCTGCCTCAACCCTTTGCTCCCTCCTCTGAACAATCTGAAAGAGTGAAAAGATTTCTAGGAGGAGGAGGAGGAGGCAGCCTGAGGGCCTTCAAAAGAGTGTAAGACATAACAGCTATTTCAGTGCAACGATCAGGCACCAGACCTGAGGAAAGTTAGCAGAAGGAATGTGTTTCAGTGCGGCTTGAAGAAGAAGAAGAAGGAGTGTGCTTGGTGTTTCCGAGTGATGGCAGGGTGATCCTGAGTCTAAGACTAAAGGGGTCTGGCAAGGCAATAGGTGGAGACTTGCTGCTAATTGGTGTCTTGGCCTAGTTCGTTCAGCCTCACCCACTTCGACCTGGGCAGGTCGGGTGTGGGTGGGCCTCATAACTGCCTCACGACATTTCAAATTAAAACGCTTTACAAAACAGGCATTAGGAGCTGTGTCTGCTAAATAAAAAATGCGTTCTCTCTCTTGGATAAAGAAAAATGCCCCCAAAAGTCAGTAGGTGGTTTTTACAGCTACTGGTAAGTTAGGATGCCAGTTTTATACACACACACACAGAGATACACACTGTGTGTATGTGTGTGTGTGTATGTGTATATGTTCCTAACTTTTCTCCCCCTCTCTTGGTCGGTTCTTTGAGAGATGGGAAGGGTCGGTGTTCTAGAAGAGAAAACCCAATTCGTTGAAAGGGCCAGGGAAACTGAATAACGGAAACAGGTTTCTCCATGAAATACATGTTTTCCACATGTCTATCCACACTGGATTTGAGCAAGCATCTTCACTCCTGTTTTTGTACACGCTCCTGCCTAGAAATGAGGGGAGGCTGGCCTACAGCCCCTTTAGTGTGCCACAGCTCAAGTGCATTCACTAAGCCCTGTACCCTGACACGAGGAGGGGAGGGGTTCACGTTAGCCAAGTGAGTGACACACAAAGGTTCCCTCTTGAACCTTCTTCCCTCAGTGCTATTGTTGTGACAAACGCTCTTGGGCCCTTTAACACTCCACCCACCACCCACCCGTGTGTTGTCATTTGGGGGGGGCTCCATAGAAGTGGTCAGTGCAGTTCAGTCACCAACTGCTCCAGTAACGCTGATTTACATTCCGCCTTCAACACATCTTACAAACCCGGAAAGAAAAGGGGAACGGATCCCACGTAAACACTGGTCCCTATCATTTCCCAAAGTCTCAATTGGGAAGGCGACAATGTCAGCCCAGGTCCTAATCCTTATAGTCACTTCAAATACTGGGATGCATTGCTCTCGGTTCTCTGTAGGCTTTCTCTGATGACCTGTCTGGAGAGACGGCTGTTTGCCGAGGAGATCAGCAGAGCAGCTCAAGGCCTGGCAGTAGAGAGAGCTGTGAGTCTTGGGGATGGCAGCCTACGCCAAGCAGAACCACTGAAGCTGGGCTCTGGGTGGGAGCCACCACCTCCTCTGCATGACAGGAGTCATGATCTATGCTCCTTGGCATTACAGTCCAGGTACCAGAGGGGAGTGGGATCTCCTTAAGGAAAAGGAGGCCTCAGTCACTGCACCCTTGTTGGCACTGTTGGGATGGGGAAGAGGCTCCCCCTGGCATGCTACACCAGGGCAGTTCGGGCCTCGGGCCTTCCCATGCTGGCACTGCTGCTTTTCCGGCGCAGGCCTGGGGTGGCAATAGTGCTGTAGCCTTCGTTTGGGCAACCATGCTGCATTAAGATGTCAATGCATTCTTGGCTTCCTGCTCGGCGAGCGTAGAAGAGTGCCGTGTGCCCGACAGCATCATGCGCCTTAACGTCAGCACCGTACTGTGGGAGGGGAAAAAGAAAAAAAAAAGGGATTAGTGTTAGGAACTCCAAAACGCAAATCTATATGTTCTACTATTGGGTAGGCATGACTGGATTTCATCTGGAAGCTGGAAATCTAGAGCTTCAGTAAGGAGGGGAATATGCTGTAGCCACTTGCCTCTCTCCAAGGCAGCTACTCTCTTCCTCAGCAACTAGGCCAGGGGTGTCCAACCTTGGCAACTTTAAGACTTGTGGACTTTAAGACTTGTGGCTGAGGAATTCTGGGAGTTGAAGTCCACAAGTCTTAAAGTTGCCAAGGTTGGACACCCCTGAACTAGGCTGTAGGCTAGAAAAGACTTCTGCAGGTGTTTTTTTTGGGGGGGTGGGTGGGGGACCACATCATTGTTCACTTTTAAATAGTCCAAGCAACCTAAAACAATTCTTCTATTCAGTAGAAGTAATTTTGACCTGAAATAGTTATCATTATAATCTCACGGCACTGAGAATAGGAGACTGCAATTGATAAAATTGCAAATGTGACAGAAAAAGGTACTATCGGAAATGAACATTGAAATGAGATGAGAATTTTAGATAACACTGTAAAATAAGATATGAGAATATCCTAAGAAAAAAATGAAACGAGTTATAATATAAATTGGAATTGGATAAGTTTAATATTTAATATTTATAAAGATAATGTGATATGAAATTGAATAAATAAAATGAATAGGTAACTATGGTCATGTTTGTATTGAGATGTGAAACCTGGAACCATACTGCTTGCCAAATGAGATTTTTATTTTATTTTTAAAAAACAAAATTGGGGAGGAAATTGAATAATGAAATTACTAGGTATGTTTAACCGATATGATGGTTGGCATTAGGAGAGAGTACTGAAATGTTGAAAAAAAAGCAATGAAGGATTATGACTTAATGTGAATATGCGTATTAAGAGATATGATTGGTATTATTCATTTTGCCTATACTAAAATGTATGATATACTGATGCCACACTTTTAATGTAATGTTGTGTATGTGTAGATTGAAATAAAAAAAAACTTGATTACAAAAAAAAAAAGGAGACTGCTACCCTGTTTCTCCAACAATACGGCCTCCCCCAATAGGAAGTCCCAGCATGTTTTATAGGCATGAAATGAAATTAAGCCCCTCCCCCCAAATTAAGGCCTATATTAAAACATGTGAAATGGGGGGGAATGGTGGGGGGGCTTGCCGTTAGGAAGTACTTTTGTTGCACACCCGGATATGGTGCTGCCTGCGTTGACCCTGATACTAAGTGCCTCACCAACGCCGAGGTCAACATCCAAGCCGTCGCCGCCCGCCCACCCAAAGATGCAAGTGGGGGGGGGGGGAATTAAGTCACCCCCGAAAAGACGGCCTAGCCATTTTTTCGGGGCTCAAAAAAAAATAAGACCCGGCCTTATTATATGAGAAACACGGTACTTTGACTAGAGATTCTGTTCGGTTTCCTGGGCACTAGTATTTTCCTATATGGTGTTTTTTAATAAGAGATGAGGACTTCTGCATGCAAAGCATGGGCTTCACCATGAAGTTCTGCTTCAAACCAGTTGCATGGCTTATGGATGAAGCTCACACAGTCTATGGACATAATATAAGGGGTTTGTTCGCTTCTGCCCAGGGGACACCATGCATGCTATACATGGATCCAATTCAGTCTAAAGAACTATTTTCAAGCTACTACCAACCTCCCATATCTGTAAGGAGCAAGAACATTTGAAATCATGGAAGGAAATTTGAAATATGCCATTGGAGGCATACATATGGAAATGTATATATGTATATATTCTGAGAATGCATTACATTCTCAGAAATCAATGTTCTAACAGTCGGTGGTCTGTCTACTATGTATGTCAGCTTTTCTCTTGGACAGCACACTTTCCTTCATTAAGATATTTTTTTTCTCTCTCCTTGGACTTAAAAGTGCCTCTACTGCCAAGAACTTACCCAGACCAAAAGCTGGGTGATAACCACATGTGAAAGGTCACATGCCACATGCAGAGCTGTGCGCCGGTCCTTGTCCCCAGTAGGAGCATTGATCTGTTCCTTGGAACTGTGGGCTAGCAAGAGCAGCACAGCTCCCAGGTCTTGGTCCAAGGCAGCCTGGAACAGTTGGCACCCAAGGGAGAGTTCAGAGTTTGGTAGTGGTGCCAGGAATAGTCGCTGCTCATATTTGGCTCGGATCCAGGATTCTCGCTCTTCCCTGAAAAAAGGAAATCAAGAAAGTTTGCCATAAGAGTCTGTGCTCAGAGAAAAACCTGTTATGAAAAGCACACAAAGTCGAAAAGAAAAACAAAACAAAATATGGTAGGTTCTTCTGCAGAGAGATGATCAAAGAGATGGAAGAGCAAGATAAGCATGAAGAAAAGGAGTAAAATTCAGACATTCATGTACTGATTTCATCTCTACGGTGAAAAATTCAAGGCAGTTATACGGACATCTTTTGATCTAAGAGCTAGAATGAGTCTCATGTCTCAACTGGGTCTATGACAATTTGCCACGGCCAACTTGCTGTGGCCAACTCAGCACAGCCAACTTGCGGCAGGACAACTCACCATGGGATGACTTGCTGCAAGACAAAAGTTATACTATCATATGTGGTGGACTTGTGCTAAAGCCAAAAAAAAAAAAAAAAAAGGGGAAAAATACATAGGTTCCTAGAAAAGATAATAGGGAAACATGTAGATTTTAAGCCTGAACTGTTTTTATTAGGGATGATATCAGAAAAATTTGATAAGAGAAGTACAGTATACCTTTAGTATTATATGTTTTAACAGCAGTGAGGATTATCTTTGCACAATATTGGAAAGATAAAGAAACACCTCAAGATGAAGAGTTAATTAAGAGGATATTAGACTGCAGAAATGGGCAGACTGACGCTGAAAATCAAACGGAAAGAGGACAGAATATTATCAAACTTGAAATTTATTCTACCAGTGGCTGGAAAAAAGGGGTGGAGAATAAGAATGGCATTTGTATTGTTAAGCAAATTAAATACTCAGACAACATGATATTTATTAAGCACTAAGAAATGTAATTAATAGAAAATTAATACAATTTATTAAAAAAAGTTACACTAATATCAAAGAAATGGTGGAATAGAATCATTAAAGAAAGGTTGCAAAAGGAGGAATAGAATAAAATGTGAACGGCGACAATTAAAATAGTTTTTATTGATTTTAAATAATTAGATAGAATTGTTCCATTGTCCCGCAGTGAGTTTTCCCATGGCAAGTTGGCTGCGGCAAGTTGTCCCACAGTGAGTTGGCCATGATGAATTGGCTGTGATGAGTTGGTCATGGCAAGTTGACCATGGTGAGTTGGCCATGGTGAGTTGGCCGCAGCAATTTGGCTGTGGCAAGTTGTCCTATTCCCTTCTTGGAAAGGGTATGGATGACAACTGTTTCCCCCACCTCCGCATAGTTTCTTCCTCTAGGCCAATGTTTCTTAACCTTGGCAACTTTAAGATGTGTGGACTTCAACTCCCAGAATTCTCTCAGCCAGGTTGAGAACTACTGCTTTAGGCAGAGAGAAGGACAGAGTGATTACTTTCCACATGGAGAGTTTATAAAATTAAAGATATATTTAGAATTAACCCCTTTGAATCTGGTTATCCCCAACATTCCCCCCTCCCACACACCAAGTCAGCAACACTGCAATTTGGCCAATGTTAGCTACATCATGCAGTGATAATTTATCTTCTCTCTGTGTTGATCCAAGTATGTGCACCACAATGCTAAGCTCCCAGGTAAATAGATACACTATGCCTGCCTATGTCTCCGAGGCTATTCTTCCACTACATTATGTGATTATGTGCACTTACCGTGATGACTCACAGGTGGGTTTCCGGCGCCCCTGTGTGCATTTCTCCCAGACGCTGTTGGCTGTTTCATTCCCGATAGAGGTGAGCACCAAGGTGAGCTCCAGGGGCCAGTCATCCAAGTCAAGAGAGCGCACACGAGACAGGTGAGTGCCCAGATTCCGGTGGATGCCAGAACATTCAATGCAGATCAGCGCCCCCAAGTTCAGACTGGCCCATGTTGGATCTGGAGCGAAGAAAATGGAGGAATTAGAAAGTAGGATGAGGGGGAGGGAACTGGCCTTCCTCTTCAAAGCAAAGACCTGTAATTCCAAACTAAAGGGAATTGTTCTGATGTGCTAAGTCACACGCAACCCAAGTTAGGATGAGAGATCGTAACTAGCCAAGTGAGGGATATTCCAATGTAGTAAAGGGAAAAGCCCAGTCTTCTTGGGAGCAAGCCTTATTATCAGGGAGCATTTTCAGATTGGGGCTTAGCCTTGGAGGCTTTCCTTTTATAGAGGAAGAAAAAGGAAAGACAAAGGAGAGAAAGTGAGAGAGACATCACAAGCTGACCAACCAAAGGGAAGGGTGGAAAGATCACTGCAATGGGACTTCTCTTTTGAGCGTCTTTAAGTCCCCCTCCCCAATATTTTAAAGAGACCCAGTCTTGAAACAGCTTTTCCTATGAAGAATCAATCTGTTCCTGTGCTGTCCAGACAGTTTACAGGTAATGGGAATTGAGATAGTTAGTTAGGAATTGAGAGCTGTCCCCTTAAGGGAATGCATCATGGTAAATGTGGTGAAGGTATCCTGGGAAATGTAGTCCGTGTCATGTGGCCACATCTGTAATCCTGATTGGTCACTGAATTGACCCTTGGTGGGTTGGGGGAGGTTTCTTCACTCTTGCTTGGACCCCAGCAGCATGCTGGCATCTCTCCCCTTTGCTCCACTACTATAGGATGAAAGATCACAATCCTGGTTCCGTGTTGAGCCCTCCTCACCGATGGACCGTAGATCGCAACTGTCCGTGGCTATGGTCCGTGCTCTTTCATTGGAAAGCCCCGATCATTGCGATTAGGGGCTGAAGCTGCCTTGGAGGGGTGGTGGAGTAAGGGGAAGCCATAAGCCAGGTTGAGGGGAGCCGCATCTCCCCTCCTGGGCTTGGTCCTTTCCCCCCCAAAGACGACTGAAGCGGTGGTCCAAAATGGCCACCCTGAAGAGAAGGACTCAGCTGGACTAAGATTTGTGCAGGAGTGAAGAAAGAGGTGGATAACATCTGAGCTGGGACAATTGGGTGAAACAACTAAACAAAAAGTACCCGGGGTTAAGGTAACATTGAACTTTTAAGAAAAGAAAAGTGAGTGGCAAAAATACAAAGGGACAGGAAAAAAATAAGAAAATAATTTTGACAGCTAAGCGGGACTTCGAACCGGGAAAGGAAGAAGCCGAAACTAAATATTTAATTAAATTGGACTAAAATATTTTGGCAATAAACAGGCATAAAATAAAGCTGGACTTAAGATTGTCAAAAAATAATAATAATAAAATTTACAATTTGGAGATTGGATTGTGCTGGAATATTGAGGTTCAAAAAACTCTAAATAAAAAATAGGGGGAAAAGGTGAAGACTTTGAATAATGGAGAGTGCCATCTTTTGACAAAAACTTGAACCCAAACAAAAGGGAAAGCATCCTGTTTCTGTATGAACTTGTGTTGATATAATGTTAAAGAAATATTGAAACAAAGTAAGAACCTTAGAAAGTGAAATCTGAACTAGAATAAAGAAAGAAGCAAGGAAAGACTGATTGTGGGATTGATTGATGTTTTTCGTATAGACCCTGGGCTGGAACAATTGAGAACTTTAGAAAACTAGAAGAAGAAAGAAGGAAAGCAAAAGTGTTTTTTGTGGACTTCAATGATTATAAAATATAAGAGTGTGTAATGATGATATCTCTTCGGGAATTAAAAATGGAACTTAAAAATATGAGAGAATTAGTACAGGAAAGAGGAGAATCACTTTGCTCTGTGTTAGAAGAAATGGAAATGGCGATTGAAGAACAAGAAGAAAGAGCTTCAGAGGAGGAGGAGTCGATTCAAGGAGAAGCCATCTTAAATAGACAATTAACACAAAGAACGCTACAAAGACGAGGGGAAAGAAGGAAGGCTAAAAAGCTGAGATTTAAGAAGGTAATCAAAATGGGAATACCTGTGAAATCAGGAGAGGTAGAAAGATCCAGCAGAAAAGGGGAAAGGAAGATATCAAGAAAGAGAGGGATATAAATCGGAATGAGAAAAGATATGGGAAAAAGAGGGGGAGGAGAGGTAGTAAGAAACAGGTGCATAAAATAAAAAATACGGAAATAGTAAAATGATGAAAAGAAATCATTTTTTTAGAGATAAAGGTTGATGAATTAAAAAGGGGATTCTGCAGGGTGACAAGGGGTAACAAGAATATATTTGCAATTTAAAAAGTACTTAGAAAATAGGGTAATATAGATTATTAAAGGAGGGATAGATACTGATAACTATTATTAGATGAATATATATTTTTATTTTTATTCTTAAAAGAAAAGTTAAGGTTTATTCTAATAATTGAAATGAATGTGGAGATGTTTAAAAATGAGGTCAATATCAGTGATTAGAAATTGAATAGTCATTTTTTTCCCTTTTACTTTTTTGAAATTAGAAATAAAATTAAGGGGGGAAAATATGTTGTGGAATCCAAATGAAAAGATGTAATGATTATTATTGTAACTACTTAAAAATAATGGTTTATTGGGAATTAAGGTGAGGGAATAAAGGTATATTTTAACCACTGAGGTGTCACACTCAAAGAAGTAAAGGGGGGAAAACCTATATTTGTTTCTTTTTCTTTTGTGTTAAAATTGGTATTAATCTAGAATCTATAGAAAGAATGTGTGATGGAAAGAAAATATAACAGATTAAAGAACTACTTAAATACAGACTATTAAATTAATACAGACTATTAAAAGGAAGGAGAGACATTGGTAACTTTATTATTATTATTAGGCAAATATATATTGTTATTTCTATTTTTAAAATAAATATTAAAGGATTATATTTGAAATAATTGAAAAGAAATGAAAAGATGTTTTGATTGAGATTAATGTAAGAGACTAGGATTAATTTGCTTGTTTCTCTCCTTTCTGAAAGTTTGGAATGGAAAAGGTAATCATAGAATTAAGTATGCATATATGAATGTATAACTATTGTCATATTTGTATGTAAAAGTGATGACCCGGAAATATGTTGTCCACTAAAAAGAGCTTTTTGTTTTTATGTGAAAAATTGAATGAAATTTGTTTAAAAAAAAAAAAGATCACAATCCTTTTACATCAGAAAATCAGCTATGCAAAGAGTTGGACATTGAGATGAATCTCGACGTAACTGTAAGTTATATTGAGGATGCCTGATGAACCAATAAAAAGACTTTGTATGGATGCTTTGTGAAGTTATCTATCTGCCTTTATACATTCAGTCAGTAATTATAGAGGACAGAATAATTCCCTTAAAAAGGAGTGCCAGTTGGGAAGCAAAGGAGCCAGATGTTGTGTAGGAGAAGGGTCACTGTAATCTCCTCTGCTGAGGCTGGTATGCCAAATCTGTCAGCTGGGAAACGTCAGGCCAAAGGACAGAAACATCTGTGCTGGAGATGGCTTGTTTCTTTAGCTAGATATTATCGATATAGTAATTGTCAGACTGAAGCTTCAAAGCAGACTTTAAAAAAAAAAAGGCCCATCCCTGAAAACTTAAAGGAGGTGGTGGAAATAAATCCAACTATATTCATATTTCTTTGGCGTATCCTGCCTCTGCCTTCTTTTTCTTTTCTTAAGATTTAAATATTGTATTGGTAAAATATAACAGCTAGAAGATATGATGAAGTGCCACCAAAAATATAACATTGCTAATAAAAAAAAAAGAATATATAAAGTACAGTTAGCTCTCAACTTACCACAGTTCATTTAGTGACCATTCAAAGTTACATCGTCACTGAAAAAAGGATCATTTTTCACACTTATGACCACTGCAGTATCCCCATAGCCACCTGATTTACATTTGGATACTTGACAACTGGTTCATATTTATAATGGTTGCAGTGCGCGGTTTCTGCCTGCGCTCGCCACTGGAGCGCCCCGAGCTGGCTGGTTTCGGGGCTAAGCCACCCCGTAGAGGTGGTGAAGAGGGGGGAGACCGCCAGCAGGGTCGAGGAGAGCCGCATCTCTCCTCCTCAGCTGGCCATTACTCCCTTTCCCGAAGGCGGTAGGAGCGGTGGTCAGAAATGGCCACCACAAAGAAGAACTCGACCGGAAAAGAATGTGCAGGAAGATAAGAAGTGAAAGTTTTGGCTGACCGGGTTAAATTGTAAAAGCAACAACCAAGGTACCCTGGAATTTAAACTTACAAAAAATAACATCGCTCCCAAAGAAGAGTTGGAAGCAGCGAAGGAAAGTGAAAAGGGAAAGGTTTGGCTTTTTTTCCCCTCTTCTCTCTCCTTCCCTATACTGACAACTAAGAGACTTAAATAAGGAATCGGAAAAATCCACTTTGACATCAATAGACAATTAAGCTGAAAATAAAACAAAAATGTCAAAGGGATAATAAAGATTTCTGGACATTAAAAACTTTGCAACTAAATAGTAACCCCAGGAAGAGAAAGTGAAAAAAAAGAGCAAAAAAGAAACAGCTTACATGTATTTGGATTATTTGGTGATCTTTGGATTTTTGGTTATTATATTTGAATGACTAAAATCAATCGGGTGGTTGTTTAAAAATTTATACAATGGCACCACTTCTGGATGAATTGAAAATGGAACTTAAAAAGTACAAAGAAGATGCACAAGAAGAGAAGGGTTCTTTTGGCTTTGTTTTTCAATTCTTAGAAATGGAGATTTGGAACTATGAGAAACAACAAGAAAAGACTGCAAAACAAGAAGACTGGGACAAAGAAGAAGCCATCTTTAATGAACAAGTAATCCTATGTGGGGAAGAAAAAGGAAAGGGGGGAAAGAGAATGGAGAACTTAAGACTTAAAAAAACAACCAAAGAAAAGAAAAATACTTCAAAAAATAAGTATAATACTGGTAAGCAACAGAAAAGGGGAATACAGAAGAGAGAAATAGAGGTAGAGAAACAAGGGGGTAAAAAGGGGAGAGAGAAGAAGAGAGGGAGGAAGGAAAGGAAAAGAAGCTACAAAGGACCGGAGCAAGATATAGAGAAACAGGATCTATTTAGAGATAATGGGTGAAAATCTAACTGAAAAGGGGATTCTGTAAAGGTACATAAGATTGTTATATTAGTAATAGAAATAATTTTAGAAAATTGGAAACAACGTATGATTAAAATGAGGGATAAAATAGTTAGTGTAATTTAGTGAAATGTTTGTGAATAAAATAAGTGAAATAAAATAAATGAGAAAATTGAATTAGGAAGGAACGGGAACATTTTAATTAGTTAATGTTTTATAAAATATAAGTGAAGAGGGGGGGAATTAACTATGGAAAGCTTATAATTGTTCCCATAGAAGTATGATATTTAATTGAAAAGTAATGTTAAAGATGTTAAGACTTTAATGAATATTAATATTAATGATAGAATTGAATTGGAATGGAATGTTGTTTTAATTATATACATTTATATATATTTTTTCTTTTTTTAAGAATACAGTGTGTATTTTAAGAATGTACCAAGCAAAATCCGAATGGAAGTTATGTATTATATTGAATGTTACAACTTTAGGGAAAAGATATAAAGGCGTCATACTCCAATCAGTAACTACAGCAGAAATTTTGTTTAATGAGAAAAGATAATAGATAATTGAAACAGGACAGACAAAAAATATAAATATAATGATTTGAATTGAGATGAGATAAGTAAAATAAAATTGAGAAAATTAAAAGAGGGGAGAAGCTATGCAGAAAATGTAAAATAGTAATAAGATATGGAATACAATATAAAAATGAGCATGAACCTGAATTTGTCTCTGTACGAAGAAATGTAACCTGGGATTATGCTGCTTTCAAAAAAGATGTTTTATTTGTATTTTTTTTCTCTTTGTGAAAACTCAAATAAAATTTACAAAAAAAAGAAAAGAAAAAAGTCTGAATGGCCACATACTTACTTAATGCCCCACAATCCACACACAAAGAATTTCCTTTGGCATTTCGGATAGCCTGGATTGCCACAGCTTCACTCTGGCTGTCCATCCGGGCCTGTTGGCGAGACAGAATACAGATAGATGCTAAAATGTCCATTGTTTCAGGGGTTACTTCACAGATCACCCTAATTCTGACTGAGGCCTTGCAAGACTGGGTAAGCTATTGTCTGCTATTTCTTGAAACCCATCTTCCAAACCTGTATGAAATTTTTGGATTATGCTTCATTTCCATTCTCAGATACAAAAGGATCTGAGGATATGCTCCCTTCCCTACAATTTTTTATGTTTGATATGAAAAGAATTAATGATATAAGCTGCCCAGAGTTATTTTGAAATGAGATGGGCACTGGGCAGCAAATATAAAGGAAACAAACAAATTAATTAATTAAAATGAATCACAAGAGAGAGCATCCTTTTCAGCAGGTCATAGTCTATGGGAATATTCACAAAAAGAAACCCCATTTTCCTTCTCCAATAGATCAGTCGATTTTCTTCCAATTTTGTGTGTGTGATTGGCTTCTATTTGTCTTGCTTTTAAAAAGTTTGTGTGAATTATAGCGATTGTTTCAAATGTGGTTGAATTGCAACACAACCATTAATTAACCATTAGTCATTTGCAAATAATGCTCAAACTCTTCTTACCAAGACCACAGCATTATGACTGGGCTAAATCACTTTGAGTGATAGAATGAATGAATGAATGAATGAATGAATGAAGGAAGGAAGGAAGGAAGGAAGGAAGGAAAAAGGTGGATATGCCAGGTAGCTCAAATGCTTCTGCCTAAGACATTGAAATTATATGCATAAATGTTTTAATGGAAAATAATGCGTTTGTCTGAATCCCACAGTTGAAAAAAAATAGATTTAGTCAATAAAATAAAAAATGTAATAATATTTAATACTAATATGTAATACTTTGCAAATGTTATTGTGTAATATTTTGCAAACGTCCTTTTATAATTATTGGTTAATTACGTTTATTCGTTATTCCTTTAAAATGTTGTATGCTAATTCAAGTTAGGCCTGGGGAGATTTATCTTCCCAGCCTGTTTCCCAACTCTCATTCTAATAAGTTGTTCTCTTTGTGTGGTGAATCCCCACATTAGAGACATGATCTCTGTTTAAAACAACTTCTTTGTCTGTTTATTCTTTCCTTCTGGACTTTCTGGGCCTTCAGAGTTCAACCATCTGACTAAGATTTTCTTATATGTTCAAATGTCTCTTCATTCTGCCTTGTTCCTTGACATCCATTGTATGTGATGATTACTGGAATGATAGCATTGGAAGATAAACAACTTACAGCCATTTGTAAACGACCATACAAAGTTACAACAGCATTGAAAAAATGGACTTTCACACATTTTTGTGCGAAAGTCACTTTTTCACCCTTACAGCAGTTACATAATCCCCATCGTCACATGATTAAAATTTGGACGCTGGGCAACTGGCATGTATTTATGACAGTTCACTGTCTCAGGGTCAGGTGATCACCACCTGTAACCTTTCCAGCCAGTTTCTGACAAGCAAAGTCAATGAGGGAAGCCATATTCGTTTAATGACTAAATGATTCATTTAAAAACTACAGTGATTCACTGTGGCAAAAAAAGGTCGCAAAATGGGCCCAAACTCAACAACTGCCTTGCTTAACAATGGAAATTTGGGGCTCAACTGTAGCCGTAAATCAAGGACTATCTGTACTGCAACTGAAAAACCAGCCTTTCTGGTGCTGAAGAAGAGAATTTCCTATAGGCCCAAGAACACTTTTTTGCAGTTGTAATTTGCTGTCATTTTTGTTGCAGATGCCAAGAAAGTCAAACCCTTTTTTAATGCATCCTCTTTTCCCCCCAGATGTCCTCCTTTCCAATTATCCATGCTCTCCTTTGCCTCCTCAGATATCTGGTAATCCTAATATGGATAGTGCACTTACAAATCAATCAATCGATCGATCAATCAGTCAGCACAGAGTTGGAAGGGACCTTGGAGGTCTTATAGCCCAACCCCCTGCTCAAGCAGGACCCTATACCCATGATGGAGAACCTATGGCATGTATGCCACAGGTGGCAAGCACAGCCATTTGTGTCGGTACACGAGCCGCAGGCAAACTTACCTCACTGCACATGTGCGCACCTCACAGCTGATTTTTTTGGCTGGTTTGAGGCCTTTTTCAGCTTCCCAAAGGCTTGGAAAAAGCCTCTGCAGGCTTTGCGGATCAAATAATAGGCCTGTTTCATCACTTCCTGTAATACTGGAAGTGATGAAACGGGCTTATTATTTGGCCCGCAAAACCTGCAGAGGCTTTTTTCAAGCCTCTGGCAGGCCGAAAAAGGCCTCAAACTAGCTAAAAATCACTGTGAGGCACAGTGCAGGTAAGGGGGCGGCGGGGGGAGGGGGGGAGGATTGTGTGCGCATGTGCAGGGGGCGTGGGGGGGGGGAACACGTGCATGGCCTTCTGGGCGCACTCAATTTTTGGCGCAGTGGTGGCTAACCAAAAAGGTTAGCCACCACTGCCCTATACCATGTCAGACACGTGCCTATCCAGTCTCTCCTTAAAAACCTCCAGGGATGAAGCACCCACAACTTCTGAAAGCAAGCTATCCCACTTGTTAATTGTCCTCACTCTTAGGAAGTTTCTCCTTAGTTTTAGGTTGCTTCTCTCCTTGATTAGTTTCCATCCATTGTTTCTTGTCTTGCCTTCTGGTACTTTGGAAAATAAGTTGACCCCTCTCCTCTTTGTGGCAGCCCCTCAAATATTAGAACGCTATCATGTCTCCCCTTGTTCCTTCTTTTCTCTAGACTGGCCATACCCAAATCCTTTAACTGTTTTCATATGTTTTAGCTTCCAGGCCTTTAATCGTCTTAGTTGCTCTTCTTTGCCCTTTTCCCCCCAAAGTCTCTTTTTTTGTAATGGCCAAATCACAACAGCCTTATAGGCAATCAATACTTAAAGGCAGGCTTCAATAGGGAAAGGGACAGCAGGATGCTGGGTGGTCAATCAATACCTTGTTTTTGCTACTTTCACAGCACTGCAAGCTGGCCAAGATCTGGCTCTCGATCGCTTGGACCCAGGAATCTCTTTCCTCGAAGCTGTTGGCCTCGAAGTGCCACGTCTGTCCTGTGCTGGAGACGATGATGAATTCAAAGTTCTCCTCCTCTGCGGATGTAAAAGAGTGGCGCTCAGGCATAACGAAATGATACCTTTCCCTGAAGTTCGAACCGTCTTACAGTCACAAACGGGTGTTGGGGCAAACTCTGGGGGTTGGGGAAGGACATTCGGAAGTTAAACGAACACAAAAGAGGATGGTGTGGCTTTTTTTTTTTTTTTTAGCACAGACGCTTGAGAAAAGTTGTAAGGAGATGATCTATTAGTATTAGAGACACAATTATCTATCATTGACGGAGGCCGACATTTTAAATTCACAAACAGCAAGTACCTGAAAGAATTCTACATGGATGCTCTCCTTTCTGGGTGGGGAAAGTTCCATTTATTCTATCAGCACCTCATCAACCCACAGGTTATTTACTATTTTAAAGTGATTTAGGGAGCACTTTTAATCTGCAGAGCACTCCTATGTGTTCGCTTGCTCCAGTACTATAGGCTTAAGTGGCTCAATCCCTGAATTAGAGAGCAGAGTTAGTGTGTGGAAACACAACACTCTACCCCGTGGTTCGATAGGATAAGGGAGGTTTTGACTCCTCTTTTCCCTGTCTCACACTTTGTTTTGAACATGGATGGAATAGGGGGCCACTCGAGAGCTAGCCAGAACGGCAAGCTCAGGAGGCAGGAAATGGCCAGCGCATGGCAATCAATGATGGCCAGGCTTGCAATTCCTCATTAGTTGAGGGCTCTGACAGGAACCAGGGCTGTGGTGAGGGGCAGAATTGTCTATAATCAAGCCCAAGCCATGGGCGAGGTAGGGCAGGGGAGTGTGCTGATTGCATAAAAATAAATTCTTTCAATGTTAGCTTCCTTTCTCTTCCCTTTGCGGGAGAATCAGGGCAGGGAAGTGGGAATTAATTGGTTGGAATGGTAAAGGATCACAATCCATCTGAGATAAAAGTGCTTAGGCATCCCTTGAGATTGGGAAAGACTTAGCACTTTTATCTCGGATGGATCATTTTTATGTCACATGGATCAGATTCTAGTTTGCCCCCACCACTGTCTTTGCTGTGTGAGTGGTGAAGGTTAGAGGTGGAGCTCTCGCCTCACAATCAGGAGGCTGTGAGTTCGATCCTAGGCAGAGTCAGATATTTCTCTCTCTGGGCACGTTGAGAATATATCTGCTGAATATACCTCCACATTGTCAATAGGAAGGGCATCCGGCCAGTAAACACTCAGCTCCATTCAGTTGCCCAGACTTCACCCCGCAAGGGATTATGGGGTTGTTAAAAGAGGAAGATTGTCTTTGCTATGTAAAGCTTCAAAATCAAAGACCACAGTGGGGGCAAAAATTCAAAGTTATTTCTAATGCCAGTGGTGGAATACTGAAGTACTGATTATCACTGGACTTGGAACAGGAGATCCAGGGTTCAAATCTTCACTCAGTGGTCCATGACCATTTCTTCTGGGAAGAATAATTAAGGAAATGGAAATGGAGGGCCTGTGAGAGTCTGGGGAAAGGGCCGTACCTGCATCAGCCTAAAGGACCAAGGGGTTTCTGCCTGTTCCCACTCCTCAACAGGTCAAATGACTCTACCACTGTCAGAATAACCTGCAAAATGTGTCAGTTTTTACGTACCTTGGAACTGCTACAAATTTACTATCGTGTGTGTGTGTGTGTGTATATGTGGATCTTTGGTTATTCGGGTTTTCTCCCGCGTAAGATTGGAAGTATCTAGGCAATGTTTCGATGAAGTCTCATTCATCATCTTCAGGCTTGTGTCTTCCGCTCTGTGCTTCTCAGAGTGATGTGAGCTTGTAGCTGCTTCTTCCTTTTAACTGCTAGTGGGGGGGTGACTTGATTGGGTGG